CATTTTCAGATTTGTGATAAAAAAGACTGCACAGGTGTCTGTCCTTCTTGAAGGTGAATTCAGCGTAATTGTTGAGGACAGAATGTATGTGAAAAATAATATAATCTTGGCAATTTGACAGGTATTTGGTTCAGATAGCTTTGCTTGCCTAATATATTTAACATACATCATTTGCTTATATATTTTGTGTGTATTTGTGCAATGAAAACTTAGGATATATTCCTGTGTGAGTTTGGTTTACCTCCTTCTCTTCCACTTAAGGTCTGTGGGATAGGGCACATCCTTTAGTATTTCTATGCAGCTTTTTCTGCACCCCTTTTTCATCTGTCAGCTTCTTGGCACTTCTATTGCTGAAGTTTTCTCTGTCTTTACAGATATTAATATCTCTTTAATTTTCTTTTTGTAATTTTGCTTCTTGGTTTTGCATATTTACTAGGGCTACAGCCAGCTCAGATGCCACAAATGTGAACTAATAATATATTTAGAGTGTTGGAGGGTGGTTTTCTTCTTAAGTTTTCCTTATTTATGCCTTTATTTCATTATTCCTTTATTGGCATGCAGCACTAGAGTAGTCAAAATACTTTTTTACAAACCTTGCCCTTTGTGGCATTGGATTTGATCTTAGGATTCTTTCAAAGTAGATAAATCTCTCCCCTCCAGAGGGAGAACAGAGTTACTGAAAAAGAGCCTATGGCATTCATTTAAAGAAAAGAAAGAAGAAGGAAAAAAAAAAGAAGAATAAAGAGTTCATCTTCTGAGACACATTTTAGATCTGTTTCAGATGTTAGCACAGTTATGGTGGTGAGCATTGCTTTGAATTTGCTGTTGTCTCTGTTGCATTGTGCTTGAAGGTAGATCCTGCAGTTGCTGAAATTGGGGGTAGATTTCCCACTGATTTCATCAAACCAAGAGTCTGGCCCATGGGGCAGCAAGAAGGAAACAGCTTCTGAACCTGGAGTACAGTTAGCTTCCTGTAGCTTTGGGATTACTAAGAAACAGTACCAGGCCTGTTGTACAGAGAGGTAAACTGAGACAAGGACAGATGAAATTCCTCACTGTAACAGTGCTAGAAATAGAAAAAGAGAGACATAAGATTTCTGTGGCTGTGACTGTCTGTCACATAGTTGCTGTTACCAAAGGTGTTTCATACCACTGATAACATTTTTAATAAATGAAACATGTTCAAAGAAGAGATGATCTGTCTGAAGCATAAGTATTAAAAATATTTCCTGAAACTTGTTCTTTTCTTTTAAGTAACTTCAAGCTAATGAATAATGGAGTAGCTTAGGAGACTAAATAATCTTTCTCAAAGACAAACCCTAATTTTGACAGAGGGAAATCAGATTTTTGATCAAATAGAGAAGTCTCTGCAACTAACGTAATACAGACATCCAAAATTTAGTATGTCACAACATTCCTAATCTTAGTTATTTTCTAAGTAACTTATAGTCATTTTTCTAGAGAACTTTCCCAAGATCAAACCAGAAATAACTGAATTATGACTGTAGTGTGATTGTTTTCTGAGCACACTCCTGATTGAAGTTGTCTTACAAAATATGTAGAGAGCACCAAAAGTGTGAATTTTTTTAAGCATTTATGAAGAGGCTCAACAACAGAGAATAAAGGGAAAAAAACATAAAAGGTCTTCATGTTGTAGTTATTACTAGTTTCATTTCTGTCCATTACAAAATCTAAATACCATGTAGACTTGTGAAAAGCTGCTTAGAATGCCTTTAGTGTAGAAGATTCTGCAGGAGAGGCAGCTTGCTTTATAGTTTTATGCTTTGAGGAAAGTAGTTTTCATTTGGTTTTTATAACATAGCTGGTAGCCAAACCATTCATATTATTCTACTTAAGTTTTTAAACAACTAGTTGCTTTTGAAAGATGCCGTTGTAATAAAAAGTTTCTTCAGGTTATAGCTCTCATTAATAGTTAAAACATGTTTCCATTTAGGGGAAAAATGGAATTTAGTTGAACGCAGGCAGTAAAATTATGGGTATGTAAAATTTTACAGTAGCTTTGTCCAGTTTACATTGCATTTAATGGGACTTATGTGATACAGTTCAGATCTGTGCGGGTAACAGGCGGAGTTTATGTAAAGCCACATGAAAGGAGTAAACCCACAAGATTAAAGGCAGAACAGTTAAGGCAAACAGGGTCTCCTGATACAGTTTTAGCATAGGATTTTGTTCACGGGATTTTTTTTAATAGTGAGGAGGCAGTAAGTTTTTATTAAAGCCTTAAGTTACAGAAAGAACCTCCATTAGACCAGATCTAATGCAACCTAGAGTTTGGATAAATAGCAATCCAATTGATGCATATTTTTTGTATTCTGCACTTTTACAGATTATCTGAAAGTAAGTGCAATGAACTCTAAGCAGCAGTTGGGATGCCTAGGTCATGCCTTAGCTTGTTATGCATGATGAGCCAGTGTGGGTCCCACTGAATGAAGTCCATCACCATGTGAAAAAGCTTTCAGTGTGCAGAGGTAGTTCAGGGGTCTCTGGGAATTGGAGTACAGACATACAAGGTACAAAGTACTTTCCGTGGTACCACACAGGGCCAGGGTGTGTGTCCTGGCTGCACTTGTGTCACACCTGTGCTGGTTACTAGCGGAGATACTTCGCTCGCTGATGCTTGATGGTGTCCTGATTGTCAGGACTGTCAGCTCAAACATACAACAGTAGCAGCCTAAGGATGGTACTTGGGTTCTTGTCATGCATTTGTCTTAAGACTGGAGCACTGGGAATCTTGAGATAGAGACATGGTGTAGCTCCGTGGGAGACAACCCAGCACAGTCAGAGATGAACAAGACAAATAAGCAAAACTAGACTTGGGCATCTTTCTTTTGGAGATTCTAAAATGGCTTCGCAATGCATTTCCCAGTACCCATATTATCCTGCTTTACTACTGCAGTGAGATATCTCTATTTCCCATTGTTTGGATAATGGAAAGTTTATGATGTTGCAGCAATGGGTCATTGCTTAGATAGATTAATTGTACATGATATACACACTCTGTGATAGAACTGGAAGTTTTACAAAGCTTCCAGGCTTTCTTGGCTTATATTGAAATTGCAGCTCTCAAAATCCTTTCCCCTATTCCAGTTACTTTAAACAATCAGGCTGAATTTTGGTAACAGGTATGGGATACAACTTAGGAAGTAATTTCCTCTCTACTTCCTCTGAAATATAGGCTTTGGGTAAAGTCTGTTTCAGACAAAGGGGAGCATTTCATCTTGCTCCTGAATTAGGCTGGTGCAACTGCTTGGTTTATATACTGTGCATAACTTTATAATACTGGATGTGTTCACTGTTTTCTTCTTCAATCTCAGTTCCTGACCACAGTCTTTCAGGACATAGGTTATGTGGGTGGGGAAAAGTAGACACTACAGAAAGGAACTATACTATTATATATAAAGGTTGATTTGAACTCCCTGACCCACAAAGTTGGAGAAGTTTCAGAGTGAGGCAAAATGAATTTGTTCAGCCCTAATCACTGTTATTATAGTACCTAATATTAATGTTCCTACAGCACTTGGATACTGTTGTGTGCTACATACCATAGATAAGTTGTTATTATTACTACCTTCTAGGTCCATCTTGGCAGTGGAATTTGGGTAGATGAGGAGAGATGGCACCAGCTGCAAGTAACACAAGGAGATTCAAAGTATACAAAAAATCTAGCGGTTATGATTTGGGGAACAGATGTTCTCAAGAACAGAAGTGTCACAGGAGTTGCAACCAAAAAAAAGAAAGATGCCGTTCCCAAGCCACCTCTCTCACCTCACAAATTAAGCATTGTCAGAGGTAGGTTATTTGAAAACTTTTGCTTCCTGCTTTGGAGTTTAACCATTAATCACCGAGTTGAAAGATGCTTCTTTTCAGCTCATATAAAATTAACTGATTAAAAACTGTAATTCAGATTGCTATTGCATTGTGAAGTACAGACAAATCCAGGAAAAGTAAAGCACATTGCAATAGCTGTGCACAGTGCAGGCCTTCACAGCTGAAGAGTTGTACATTGATTTCAGTAAGGTTTGAGAAGGTCATCACTTTTTAAACCATTTGCAGGGCAGGACTCTGAGCCTGGAGAACAACACATTGTTCTAGAATTCATTTATAACATAATGATTTTTAAAAAATGCATATATTCCTTATAACAAGACTGAGAGTAGCTTTACCACATTCTTTCATCCAGAATATAACCAGCTCTGGCATGAGGCACAGAAACCATTATAGCTGTGACTATAAAAATACGTATACCTTCAAAGGCAAGAAAGAATAGTTTTACCCTTTTAAGTGGAGAAAATAGTAAAAATGAACTGTTGCACTTGAATTGAAATTTGGACAGGAAGAGTAAATCGCTGACCTCATCTGGCAGGGAAAATTGCAATGACACTTCGAGTAACTGCAAGCCTGAGTCCATGTATGTAGTACTTTGAGAGAGAAAAGGTCTTCTCCTTTATTTAAAATGAATGGTGAATTTCAGTCCCTTTGTATCATCATGCCTCTGTTGCATTCATTTCTGTCTCTCTTGGTATTTCAGGCTTCTTTTTAAGTCAGAACTGAGTTGGTTCCTTATGGAATACATACTGAAATTGGATTTTTAGGTTTTGTGTCCATACTAAATTGCAGCAGGGCTGAAAGAAATCTCCCTATTTAGCAGAGCTTCATTGTTCCTGTTCTTAGTTGCTATGTGCTCTTAACTGAACTTGTTAAGAGGTGTTGTAATCTGCCTTGCAAGTACCATGTTTTGGAGTAAGAAATATGATTCCTTTTTGAGTGTGTGCGTGTGTCTGTGTCTGTGTTGTGTGGGGAAAAACTGGAAACTTACCTTCGTACTCTCATCTTTCTTCATTTGTAAGAAATGAGTAGAAGACATGGGGTGTTTTTACTAATTTGCTTCAAGAATATATTGTGAAAGTGGAAACTGTTCCATGCTGATTTTCTAGGTCTGGCTGGGGCTTTTAGGTACAATCCTTACACAGGTGATGTACTGGCCACATAAGGAATCCACTCTGTGGCTGTGGCTACCCTTGTCGGCTCCAAATGAGAAGCAGCACTGGTTGCCCAGCTGTGTGCTTACAAGCATGCAATAAAAAGGGGTTATTTTTCAGTGCCCCATTGCAAAGTGTTTTCTGTTTTCCCTGCTGGAAGCTGTTGCTCCTCAACACTGCTGGCAGGGTTGCTTCTGTGAGAATTTCCTCTTCTGCTTCTGTCAGGGCCACTCTGTGTTGTTTGAGCCATTTAAATGACTCTTTCTTCTAACTCCCTTTGTTTTGACTGCAGCGAGTTTGGGAGTAGACTCCAACAGGCACATGGTGAGAGGCAGAGGGGCCCTTCTCTTTCTTCTTTTCCATACCTTTACACTCACCAGCAATTCAGCTGTTCTCTATTTCCTTGTTTTTCTGTGTTTTCTGTCATCCTTTTGCTTCCAGCCTCAACTCTCATTTGAATTCTACTGTTACATGCCCTGGTTTTCCATATTCTTCTTTCTGGTGTTTTTTTTTCACCTTGTCTTTGATTCTGCTTTTGTAAGACTCAAGCCTGTACAATCTCCTCTTGAACCAGTTAACCTGTATGGCCAGTGTTTTAGATGACAGCTTCCTGTGTCAGTGGGACTGGGCAGCTCCTAACCATGATCTTCCTTGTTGTCGTGTCCTCTGCATTTGCGTCAGTGTTAGCAGATCTTGCCCCACTATGGAGAAGAAAACAATATAAAACAAAAAAATTACTAGCAAGTGGACAAGTAGGTGAAATGTGTGGAAGTTCAAGTTTCCATAGCCAACAATTTGGATCAGGCATCACAGAAAGAAGTGAAGCTCCTTGTTAGTCTTTGATGTCTACTTGAATCTTTGGTCCATTGAGCAATATGAAGGGGTATCTGTATACTCCTCTAAAACCAAAAGACAAAGAAGGAGCAGAACCCCCAAATCACTCTTTGGAGTCCCTAAGCCAGAATCCTTATGCAAGTGCTAAAGTACTATTTCTGTCCCCTCTCATAAAAATGAAAGAGGTGGAAGACAAAAAACTGTAATGATCACGGGTCTGTCTGGGTCACACTGACTTTAAGAAATAACAGCTGACGAATGAGTTCTGCCAAGTGATTCTTTGGTTGACATTGTGGCCAAACTAATAACATATTCTGTCTTTTACTGGGAGTTCACCTTACTAGATGTATCTACCACAACCTGAGAGTGTGTTTGAGATTGTTGTAGGGCAAACGTATGTCCCACAAGCACACTGGGTTTCTTCAAGTTCTCAGTGATGTGCCTCTTAGGTGTTGTATTTCTAATCATAGTTTACTGATGATCAGCATTTCAGCTATCAAGCTGCATACTGATTAATTTCATTTATTTTATATTCAGTGCATCTTGCAACATAAAACTCACATTCCTTTAGATGTTCTCATCATTCTGTGGACACAGACTAACTTATTTAAAATAGATTTTTGAACGACAACATTAGCTCTTAATGTATCTGATATCTCTCCAGCTTCTTGAAAATCCCCACTGTGTAGTATGTAATAAAGAAATGATAAAAAGTATGATGCATGGGCACTGTTATCAACCTTGTTAATGCAAAATAACCTTTTAGAAAACTTCTCAGAGGTTTCCAAATGAACTACAAAGCATGCACAGTACTTAATTTTCATAACTTTTTAATATGGTGCATTAGAAATGTTGTAAACCATGTTAATTAAGCAATAATCTCTATGGCTTTCTGCATATGAAGCAATAAACAGCTAGTGGATTAGATCACTAGGCAAAGCAGAACAGAGTTTGTTTAACCAATGTGGGAAGCCTACACAACAAAATGCATGAGAATAAACCCAAACCTGCCTGTCACTCAAGGAGTTGTGTGTGTTGCACCACTTCAGATATCAGTAAGCTCTGCAGGGTTCCAGCACCAAGCTACCAACTCTGAAGAAAGATTGTCTCAACTTTCACTGCCCTCATTGCTTTTGCTGTTACTGCTATTGCTTGCTTTTTGTATTCCAGTTAAGTTCACAAAATGTATTGTTCAAACCTGCAAGGAGATGGCTCTCATTCTGCATAATCTACTAATAAAAGCAAAATATTCCCAGGGCCAGGGCATTGAGAAAGACACAAACAATGTATGTGGGACAGATTTTAAAAATAAATTGGTTCAACTGTTCTCCTACCAGTTACTGCTGCTTATTGTTTACACCCTCTCCTGAAGGTGTGAAGGTAGGAGTGACTCACTGGGAACTGTAGATAACAATAGTTCTGGAGAGACAGTTCACCTGGGAAAAGACTAAATCCGCTGTGAAGATTAAGACAAATAGAAGAGTTAGGCAGGCAAGACTGAAGCTGTGAAAGGTTGGGTTTAGTCTTGTTTCTGTCTAAAAACCTATTGATGTAGTCACAGCATAACTGGAGGAAGTTGGTCATGCCAAAGATTCAAGCCTGGTGAAAAATCCTGACTCTAACAAGGTAGCCAGTGAATCAAGGAAAGCTTATCTTGTCTTGCAACAAATATACACAGTGCTTAGTCAGTGCTGTCTCTTGAGCAGTTAGCCCAACTCAGAGCTGTATTATTTTCTAAAAATATCCTAATGACTCTTTCTCTTTTTTTCTCCCCAGAATGTTTGTATGATAGAATAGCACAAGAAACTGTGGATGAAACTGAAATTGCACAGAGACTCTCCAAAGTCAACAAATACATCTGTGAAAAAATCATGGATATCAATAAGTCATGTAAAAATGAAGAAAGGAGGGAATTTGCAAAGTACAATTTGCAATAAATTTTGGATTTTTAATAAAGTCTTAGTGTTTTACTTAGGTGTTGTTTTTTGCTTTGTTTGGTGTTTTTGCTGATGGGAGAATCTGACTTGAAGCGTTCCTCTCTTCTTATAACTGATTCATTTTTTGGGCGGTTCTGTCATGTTGTAAACCACTTTTAAATAATGTAAGATATATTGTAAGTTCACTCACAATGAAAAATGAAGTTTCAAAGGTTTTTCCAACGAGTTGCAGTATGTTACCTGCAGTTCTGTGCATAGGTTGTCATTCTACAAACACCAACCCAGCTGGCCTACATTTAGTTTTACTGGAGTTAGTGGATCTAAGCTGCAGTAAACATCTGCTTAGAAGGAAGAACTGTACAAAATCCACTTTGCTATTGAAAAGGGTTTTATTGTATTTTACAAAGTGTTTTTCTGAACTGAAATTTTAATAGTTTGTTTTTATAAATCTCTGTTTTGATCTCTAACAATATATTTGATTAAAAACACACAAAGAAGGCTTCTTTTTTACTTCTTATCTTGTATGTAGATCACCATTGCTGTCATGGTGTAAAATAAAACAAACCAATAAACAGCAAAGAACCCAAAGCTGTAAGTTGTAAAATCATGATAATTTACTTAAACAAATACATCTAAAAGCAGGTTTTTTTCAAGCACCAAGGCACTTTTCAGACTTCTGGTTTTGGTGCAAAGCTCTTCAGTGTGTCCATATTACTGTTCTTGAAACACTCTATTTTTAGTGTATTTGTATCTTCAAATATTTGCCACACTATAGCAAGATTCTGTACAGTAGAAAATCTAGTACCATTTAGTCTGGGTCCATAATTTATCAATGAACACTTCTAGGACAAATTTAAATTAAAAATAATTTTATTATTCATTAAAAATAATTTTCTACATTGAAGTTAGACATGCAGTGCAAAGTTATAAGGAATAATCTGTCATCTGAATGATACCTATCTGTCTGTAAGTGAAGGAAAATAACCTGAAGTCTTTTTTCATAAAGTATTTAGAGATAACAAGCTCTGGACTGATGAGTTTTGAGGATTTGTTCTATTAGTGATCTTGGTTAACCTTCCATTTATTTTACACTCACAGATGTGACTATCTTCCTTTCAGGCTGTTTGTTCCCAGGCTGTTTGTTGCTTTTTTACCACTGCAGTTCTGCTTCCTGTAGTTTTGAAAGAATTCCCATTTCTTACCATCTTCCTGTAGCACTGGTTTGCCCTAACATGAAACCTATTTCAATGTCCTGCAAATGTGGATAATTTGGAAAGGCACAGGCTGCCAGGGAGTGGTGACCTCCCCGTGGCTGGAGGTATTTGAGGGACGTGTAGATACGCACTTGGAGACATAATTTAGTGGTGAGATTGGCAGTGCTGGGTAAAGCTTGGACTTGATGATCTAGCAGTTGTTTTCCAACCTAAATGATTCTCTGATTCTTCAAAGGGCTGGTGGGAGTGGAAGAAAAAGGGGAGGGGAGAGGAGAAGGTGTGTTAGAACTGCAGTGCCTCTTTTGGAAGAGATGGAGATAAACATCAGGTTGTTTGTTCCTGTGTATCACCTGTACTTAAATGACATCTTAATTCAGGGTGTAAGGATTTGTTTTATGCTTTCTAAAGTCGGATTTAATGACTGCCTTGTACCAATCTAATTATGCTGTGCTGACAAACAGGTACACCCCACTTTCACTGCTCCCATCCCTGCAATCCTGTCCCTGCCCTTAAACCAGCACTTGTGACTGTGCAGGTGTGTCAGATCTCACAGATTTCCAAGGTTGGTTTCATAAGAGCTGGTGCCAGTAGGATGGAGCCAGGGAATGTTCATGGCAAGGGATGGGAAGAGCAGGAGTGTCTTTTTATGGTGTCTTGTGTGCCCTGAAATTACATTTAACAGCCTAGCTTGTCTCCTGTTAATATCAAAAGTGTTCTTAGGTAGTGTTTAATGAAGTGCATAAATGTTTATGCTTCCTAATTTGGGATGCTAAATAGCAAATTAGTGTTTATAATGTCAGAGCGTGTATCCTTTTATTAATTAAAGAACAAAATAGAGATAACATTGGAGAAACATTTAAACAGCAAGTTCCCACTTTTCAGACAGACTTGTGAATGTAGAATTATTTTTTTAAGTGATACTAAGACAATCCACTAGTTTGGGGGGAAATGTCCATAATTTCCTTAGTCTTTTATGGCTTTAGTACTAATGTGTTTCCATTGTAACGGATTCTTTAATGAGAAGATCAAGCTGCACTTCTTAGAAGATAAGCCTATTTGAGACAGCATTTTATGAAACCTGGGAAAAGCAGATTAGAATTTAATTAGAGTTAGGACTCCAGCCTGCCCCCAAAAATCAGAGGTGGTAATTCTTTCTACAAAACCAGCATTATCTTTCTAAGGCTTCTCCTTGACAAACTCGTCCCATCAGATGTTAATGCTGCATATTGCTGAAGAATTTAAATGTTCTTGGCGAAGGTGTCTTGGAAGTCTTTGTTATTTTTTTTCATGGAGATTTTATCAGCCCAGGTCAGTTTTTATGGGAGTTCAATAGGGGTGTTTGGGTGACACAAAAAAGTTCACTTCCCCTTTGAAGTGAAGTGTGATTGGGGGCTAATAAATGTGTCCTATGGACTGGGCAACTGGCATTTAATGTGAGCATCACCTGCAGCTTGGTTATGTTAAAGGAATGGGACATATTAAAACACTTCTTTATTGTATTATAATTGCAACTAAAGCTTTGGGTTGCTTGAAATAAGTTTTTGTTAATAGTAGGCCATTTTTACACACTGTTTGTACAGCAACATGCAGGGGGCTCTGCAGGGGGTAACGGGTGTGTGAATAACATCTTTACACTTAGATTTGGTCATTACTCTTTTCTCTCCCCATGAACCAGTATGAAGGTTGTACTAGTCTTTCCCAGTGTGTCTGTTTCAAGTAGGGAAATAGGCTACAGTTACGTGTTCCAGCATTACCCAGGCAAAATAGGAACTTTAATGGGCTGTGCTTGTCTGCATTGCAATACTGATGTATGAGTTAACTGTGAATTTCATTTCATTTTCTTATACTGCATTTATGGCCAGGGCTGTTCTTGTTGGTACATTAATTCTTCCATAATTGTGCCTGCCTGTACATAGTTTGCATTGTTCATAATGCATCTGTCATGAATCTACCAGAGGAAACTTTATAGAAAATAGCACCTGCTAACTTTTTCTTGCTCTAGCTTAACTTTGTACCTGTACATCATGGGCAGCAGGAGAGAATTCTGACATGAAATGAAGTAGGTTTTATTACACCCTGCAATACCCCTCGTCCATCATTCTGAGGTTTGTGCTGTGCCATTACCTCATGCTGTAAACCTGGATTTGTAAGACTGATTTAAGAGAAAGTGACTTTTTGTGCTGAGAGATCAATGCACACTGTTTACTTTTTCTTTTATCAAAGAAGGAAGAAGGTATTACTATTATATGAATAATCTTCTCTTCTGTTGCCACACATTGCTGCTGTAATTTGTGATATTCATGACCTGATCCATATTAAAGTGCCTCTGGCACACTTGCAAGGAAGCAAGATTAGAGTTAACAAAAAGGGCTTTATTTTCTATTAATGATTTTATAAGGAATATGAGCTATTATATTAAAGGAAAGAATCCTACCAGGGACTTTAATGCCTGAGTAAAGATGTCTAGCCACTCAATTAAAAAAAAAAAAAAAAGGAAGCTAATATTTATTAGAGAGGGGAAAAAAATTCTGTTTCTGCTGTTTCAGAGCAGGTTTGGATTTAGTGGTGCTTTATAGAGATGGGAGAGTTTTGGCTTGTTGGGATTTTTTTAAACGACAAGTCTAAAATATTTGTTATGTCAAAATTGAACTCTTAAGTAGGAATTTAAGGCTGCATGGGTTAGCTGTGGAGCATGGTTGGCAACAGCAGGTACAGTCTCCCTGAGTGAGGTCCCTTCTTTGCACCCTGTCTTTGATGTTGTATCTGATAGATTACTATGACGCTGCTTTCTTGTCTTAAGCAGAGATTATTGTCCTCTTGGAAGTTTTAAGTAGCAATAAACTGATTTTTTTTGATTTAGTGAAATGTAAAGATAATTCTGCTTCATACTTCCAGAATCTGTAGACTTTTAAAAATTACAACTAAGTGCAGGTCATTGTTAAAATGATACTGTCTGAATGCAAAACCTCAAAGGAGTGAGGATTTTCTGAACTGGGAACATGCTGTATTAGCTGTAGCCTCGCTGTGCATTAGCTATGTTCACAGCTTTTAAGAAGCCCAAATTTGGCCTGTTTCAGAAAGGGGAAGCAAAGTTCTGTCATGTGGAGCTGTACTGAGGATTGTTTCAATATTCCATCTTCTTGGTGTGAGAATGACCACTCTTCAGAAAGAGACAAAGATGCAACTTGTGCTTCTTGAGAATGAGGTGGTAGTTTTCTCCATGCCCTTGGAAATATTTGTCATTCTGTGTGTGCCTTTAGTCTCGATTGATGAAGTCATAACATCAATTGCTCAGACTTTATTGGTGTCATTTTTTTTATTGTAACAGTTTGGAACTGTGAAGTGATTCATCCAACACTGAGGCAATAAAAATGTTATGAAGTGCAATCATTGCATGTTTCATGCTCAATAGCTAATTTTTAATTTCACCATCTTGGACATTTTTTCATCCCCTCAGGGTTTCTAAATAGGAAAGGAGAATCATTTGGACTTAGAAAACAGGAACAGTGTTTCAAAAAGGAATTAATTTACTTGGTTGTTCATTTGTTTTACTTTTGCAATTATTTCTGTTGTTTATGTCTGAGCAATGACTTTCATTCTGTGCGTCAGATACCACTTTTTCAGTCCTGCAGTGAAATCATAGTCCTGTGGCTGTGACATCATTTGTTTATCATAAAGAGGAAAATACCTCACCTATGGCATCAGATGAAGTTGCATTATGGCTGGATCAGAGCAAAGGTGAAAGTGAGTCTGAGAGGAGGGGAAGAAGCTGAGCCTCAAGGATTT